GTTTTTCCAGACAGGGTTTCTCTGTGTAGTCCTGGCTATCCTGTAACTTACTCTGTAGACCAGGCTGGCCTCAAATTCACAGAGATCTGCCTGTTGCCTCCTGGGTGCTGGGATTAAAGATGTGTGCCACCACCACCTTGCCTCCCTCTGCCTTTCTTCACCTCTCCCCGCCTCCTATTCCCAGGACATTTGTGGGCTCTGCTGCTCCTGGAAGCATTCCCAAGACCATCTCTTCCCACCTAGTTCAGGAAACTGCATGACATCTATCTCTGGCTTCTGTTCCCTTCCCAGTATTGACCACAGTGCTGGGCATAACCTGTTCTCTTAGATAGAGCTTCATTACCAGTCTGGAGGATGTAGGGCATGCTATGGGCTGTTCTGTGTGGTTTTTAAGTTAGTGACACTCTGGAGGCCTGTTGCCCCAGTTAGCAAAGAATCCTCATGAAGACCCCTGAGCCCACCGCCATACTCAGGCAGTCGTAGAACCAACCACTCCACTAGCTATTGTGGTTAGGAAAGCCAGATCAGGCTGGACATGTGCTGAAGAGAAAAATCCTTCACAGATCTGAAGGACATGGAAACACAAAGCCACCCAAGAACTGGGGAGGCTTGGGGCCCAAATACACTGGCCTCTCACAATCCAAAACCCAAACAGACAAAGCAGCTCCCCACCTCTCTCTTCATGCCTTGCTGCTGTGTCCTGTTGGGTGGTCTCCCTGGGGAAAGGGCTCCCTTCCTTTCTTGATCAAGCCCTGGAGCTGAAACATGCCCAGCCTCTGTGGAAAGGGGATGGGAAAGGCAAGGAAGGTTGCTACCACACCCTTGGGGTTCCGCAAGTTTCCTCCCCTGCAGCTAAGCCTTTTGGGCTTACAGGACTCCGGGCCCTTACAAACCTGTAGCAGCACCAAAGGGCGGCCGCTCATGCCCGCCCCACTTCCGTGCGCCCCTCCCCCTCCCCTGGCCCAGTCCAGGAGCTTCTACCCTAATTCAATTCCGCAGAGTTAATCACCGAGTGTTCGGCGGACTGAGTGAACAGGCAGCCTGAGATTCTCTCATCTCATCCATCTCTGCCCGGGTCAGGCCTCCGTCAGTGCTGAAGCTGACAGGAAGCGCCAGGGGTGGGGGCGAAAAGGGGCATGCGGAGGGACCAGGATCTGTGGGCCTTAGCACAAACGCAGATGCCCACAGACACGATAGAGAGAAGGGCGGAAGGGCAGATGGTGTGGACACATTGACATCTTCGAACCCTCATGATAAAGGCAAAAGCAATAATTAGAAGTTAAGTGGCCCGGTTCTGCACCTCCCAGTTATGTGAGCTCAGACAGGTTCCTGAACCTCTCAGGGACTCAGTTTGCCCACTTTCAAAACAGGTAAAATTTCATTTCATCAAAGTACTATAAAAATTAAGGGCTGGAGAGCTGGTTCAGAGGTTAAGAGTACTGACTACTCTTCCAGAGGTCCAGGGTTCAGTTCTCAGTACCCACATGATGATTCACAACCATCTGTAACTCCAGTCGCGGGGGATCCAATGCCCTCTTCTGACCTTCCTGGGAATGCACAAATGTAGTGCACAGACATACATGCAGGCAAAATATCCATACACAAAAAATAAAATAAGTTTTTTTTTAAAAAATAATGAAATGAGCCAGATGTGGTGATGTAGACCTTTAATCCAGACCTTTAACTCCAGAGGCAGGGACCGGTAGACTTCTGTAAGTTCCAAGTGATAAGTTCCAAGGACTACATAGTGAGACCCTTGTTTTTTGATTGTTTGGTTGTTTTGTTTTTTTTATTTTTCCAGACAAAGTTTCCCTGTGTAGCTCTAGCTGTCCTGGAACTTGCTCTGTAGACCAGGGTGGCCTCAAATTCACAGAGGTCTGCCTGCCTCTGCCTCCTGGGTGCTGGGATTAAAGGGGTGCGCCACCACCGCCAAGCCGAAAAAAAATGCATTTTTTAATTAGTTAAAAATGTGTAAACCTCTGAAAACCAGGCCACCACATACGTGGTGCACAAAAGTCTTTATTAAAGAGCATGAGTGCAGACTGGGTTGGCAGAGCTCGGTACTTATTGGTACCCAAGAGACCTGGGTGCTATCTCAAGCACCACACAAAACCAGCGTGGTGACTGTACTCTTGTGATCGATTCAAGCAAAAGGATGAGAAGTTCAAGGTCATTCTCAACTACAAAGCAAGTTTTACACCAGCCTGGGATACACGAGATCTTGTCTCAAAATAATAATTAGTTGTTGTTGTTGCTGCTGCTGCTGCTGCTGCCATTATTATTACTGCTGCAGACTGATGGACAGTAGGAACGTGGCCTTAAGTTTCCTGGAATGTCCTTTCTTCTTGCAAATGGTGAAGAGGGCTTTCAGCTAGTCAGGCTCCAAGCTGGGGACCAAAACCACAAACTGTGAAGGGGTATAGACAGCAGATTGGATTAACCTAGCCTCTCCAGGTCTGTTTTCTATCAGCAAAATAGGAACCAGAGTGCCCTGCGTCATGGGGCTGTTGTGATGATTAAGTGAGAAAATGCAATGAGAAGTTTATGAATGTGGAGTGAGAGACAGGACTCCATGGGTACAGGTGCTCGTGGCCAAGCCTTACAGCCTAAGTTCCATCTCTGATACTCACAAGTTCTTCTCTAACCTGCACACGGGGGCCCTGGCTCCAGTGGGCCTGCATCTGCGAGGGCGTGTGCAAGCGCACGCACGCACGCACGCACGCACGCACGCACGAAGTTAGAGTTTATGAACTGTATAGCCAGTAAGCACTTGCAGGTCCGCTTACCTTCTCGGTAGTAGTGATGTACCACTCCTTATGCACCTCCGTCAAGGAAAAATATTAACTGTTTTCCTTCCAAGGAAGTGGGAAAATGGATGCCTAACATCCAACCCCAGGCACCCACCCAAGCACTCTGGGTGCACCTGACATTTGGATGGAGAACCGGTAGCGCTCCTATGAAGGGCTCTCCAACCCTGCACAGCACTCCACCCCCTTCGCTGATGTACTTGATCAGCCTGCGCAAGGACCAAGATTCTTTTCGACCCTTTGGGTCCTTCCCAGCCCTCACTGTCTTGCATTTTGAGTTTTAAACCACACATGGAATTTAATCTACCCATTGCATTGTTAGGAGAAACGCGAGGAAAGTGGGGGGAACAGCAGGAGTAGAACAGAGGAACCCACACACACACACAAAGGGAGTTTTTTGAAGACCATGACTTCCGGTCTCTAGACCGTCATGCTCCTAAGCAGCAGTTTCACGTGGAGCTAGATCTGAGCCAGATGCGCCTACCCTGTGGTGGGAGCTTTGAGGCCCTGTGTCCAGTCACCGAGCGATTATTAATCAGTTTCCGAGCTGGTTTGGACTACACAGTTAAGCAGAAGACTCGGCGCAGGCCGACTGCCTCTTCCCTGGATCTGGACCGCGCTTCTAGCGTGCGGTCAACTCCAAAGCAGCCGCAAGTGACCTGAGCTCTGAGTCCTGTCTTCGTCGGCAGAAATGGGGGTTGTTCAGAAACGCCTTTTGAGAGCACAGTTCTGAGGCTCAGGCTGAGGTCACCTTAATTCCCAGGGCTCGAATCCCAGGCCAGACCCCTAGTGCCACCTAAACTCTGCAACGGGGGTCCGAGGGGCCCCAGTAGGGTCAGGGAGTGCTCTACCGGACCCAGGTCCCAGACGGCTGCCCGCTGTAAGGCGAGGGACAGACGGGCACTGCTTGCCGGTCATCCCGTTGCTGGGAGCCGGACTAAACTGGCCGGGAAGGGGAAACATTGGTTGAATAGAACTGTGTCTACGTTGGTTCTTCTTAAGAACCAGACTGTAAAACCTCGATTTCTTGACTCATAATTCTGTCGTGGCTGCGTCAGTCCTGGCCCATCCGCAGCCGAACCCTGGATTGTATCTTTGCCTTTTAAATCTAGAAAGTAGTCTGTTGGGATGGAGAGGAAGGTCCAGGAAGATTAAGACTAAAGACTTCAGGCAACCGAAAAAATGAAAAGGCCGGCTGTCGGGTCGTCTGGCTGCCTCCCTGAGTGGTGGCGCCTCTGACCTGCCGCCCTCCTCCGCAAGGGCCCTCAGGACCACATGCAAATCACAGGCCGGGTAAAACAGGAAAAATGCACACATCACAGGCCGGGTAAAACAAACAGGAAAAATGGACCTCCCTTCCGAGGCCTCCGTCCTTTAGCACGGTGGAAGAGGCACCCTGAAGAGGGAAAGGTCTAGCGAGGGTTGAGATTCTGTCCTGGACTAAAGCGGAGGCTGAGGATTTAAGAGCAGGTCCGAGTTCTCTACGTGAACACTCCCCGCACCATGGAGGCCTTTGAAAAAACTACCCCGACCCGAGGGGCGGCTCAAGGACGGGAGGCGCTAGCCTCCAACCTGGCACAGCTGAATTGAATCCTCAGGACCCACACGGTGGAGGGAGAGAACCGACTCCTGCAAGTCTATCCTCTGGCCTCCACCTGGGCTCTGTGTTACACACACATGCGTCCACACCGCGCACAAAAACAAAATGTTGTAAGGAAGTGACTAGTCCTTCCTTCCGTTAAACTACAGCAGGGGAGTTGCCACCCGGTTCCCACCCCCAGGATTGTTCGGGCACACAGAACCCGCCCGCCACACTGCCCGAGGCACGTGCCGTTCTGTGAATCTGTAAAATGGGAGTCATAAAGCCTACCACACGGTGCAGTATGCGACAGGTTGATTCCGGTAAAGCGTTTAGCAGCGCCTGGAGGGAGCAGGCGCTCAGTGCCTATTATAAATAACAATAATGGCTTTCTCTTTTAGACGCTGTCGGGGCCACCGGCTGATGTAACTGCCCCATCAAGGGAGGTCCCTCTACTCCCATGTCACTGATTAAACAGACCTAGAGACAAGCTCTAATTTGCCGGGCAGTTCGAATGAACCAACCTAAAGTTGGATTCGAACCCAGGACAACTTCGCTCTCTTTTTTTTTTCTACTTAAAAGCGTTTATGATTGGGCCGACTCATCCAACGCTGATCAAAAATAGCAACCAGCAGGAGCGCAGACCCGGAGTCCTGCGCAGGCCCCGCCCCCACCTGAACAGAGAAAGGAAAGCTGAAGAGGGTCAGGGTAGCTGGAGAGGGGGGTCACGCGGGGGCGGGGCCGGACCCCCACGTGCGCCGCCTGCAGCCGCTTTGCGAAGCCCTTTGTCGGGAGCAGCCGCGTTCGTGCCGCACTCGGCGGCTTAAAATAAAGACAATGTTCCCAGCCTCCCTGCGGCTAAATCCGGCTCGAGTGCGGGGGTGGTGAGTGAGCCGGGCGGGAGCGCTTCTCCCCGCGCTGCCTCCCGTCTTCCCTTGTGCCTCAGTTTCCCCAACTGGTAAGGGGAGACCTAGCCAAGCTAGCCAGGAGCGCCAAAAAGCATGATATAACAACGGGAGGGACGAGGCTATAGCCCCCTTCTTCTGAAGCTGCACAGACCCAAGAAAGCTGCGTGGGCCAGAGGTGGGGGCCACTCAGGAGGAGGCAGGGGAAAGCTGGACACCCTCCCCTCCCGCCCACAAAATAAGTGTTTTTATTTCTAAAGGGACATGTGCAGAGGCGGTGGGAGAAAAGGGAGACCAAGAAGATTGGGGGAAGGGGGCAAAGAGGAAGCTTGAATCAGACTCGGAAATGGATGTGGAGGCCTAACTCCCCCACTCGAAACCACGTGTACACGCACAAGTACACGCACCCCCACTGTTCTCCCAACCTGCAGCCCGCAACCTAAGGATGGCCCAGCAGGGGGCAGCCCACCGCAGGGACTCTGGGTTCTGACCTACCCCTGAAGGTTTAATGCCCCCGGGGGTAGGAGAAGGAGCTGCTCGGACCCCGATCCCCGACCCCCAGCTGCAGTATCTGAGCAAACACAGAAAGAAGGCACACTGGGTGCCTCTTGATACCCTGGCTCCTCAAAAGTATTGATGTCCCCGCATGTACCTGCCACCTGTGACCTGTGGTTGCTGGCCCAAGCCCCAGAGACAGACGCCAGTGTCTTCTTTCCCTGTCTCCTTAAGCAACTGGGCTCCAGGCTCAACACTGGGGTAGGGTGCTTATTGGGAAAATAAGGGAGGAGGGAGGAGGAGGGTGGGACCCCAACCCTGTGCCCCAGACTCCAAAACTCTTGAGCTTAGAGCCCCCAGGAGCTGACTTCAAATAATAGCTCACCTCCTACCACGCTTCAGCTTTCTCATTTCTCTCCTAAGCAAAGGTGATCTTGGTTTCAGTCGCTCCCACCTCCCACCCAGGGCTTCATTCATCACAGCCCATCGGGCAAAGAACACGGGAGTTTGTAGCTTTCCCAATTCTCCCCCACGGTCACCCACCCCTCCAGGAGGTAGGTCTCTCTTGGGGTTTTGCTGGACCCAGGTCTCTATGACAAAGGGCACCCCCTGGGGGGCGGGAAGCGGGGGAGGGTCCCTATCTCCGAGGAAACTCAACACAGAAATCCAAACCGGACTGGAGAAGGCTGCTGGCCGAACTGTAGACTGAGGAGAGGAGGCGCGGCTCACAGTCCCCAGGTACACACACACCTGTGAACCTAGAGTGGGAGTCAGGGGAGACAGAGTTTGACAAGCTGGGAGGAGAGCTGTCTGTCTGCCTGTCTGTCTGTCTTCCAAGGGGAAGCTGGGGGTGGAGCAGGCAAGGAGGTAGATGCTGCCTCGCTTGTCAAAATTAGCCAATTCCACAGTTGGGCAACACTCAGACACACACTGAGTACAGACACACACGCACGCACATGCGTTCTGGCTCGACTGGCAGGGTCACACCTGTGTTTACATAGGCTGCACGATGACATGAGCACACAGGGATGCACACATGCCGGACACTAAACACACAGCCCCCCACTCGCCACAAACCAGACACCCATATATCCTCAGCCCCGGGGCTCTGCAGACACCAGAGCACACTGCCCAGCATGTGGGCATGTCGCTCAGCCCCAGGGCGGGTGCGCCAGCCCTCTGGGTCTGTTCCAAGTTGGAACCTCTCACGTGAGGCCCAATGTGTCATTTTCAAACAGAAGGAATCTAGCTCCCTCACAGCAGGGAGGAAGAGCAGGGTGTGTGGCTGGGTGGGTGGGTGGGCGCGTGGGCATGTTCGGGGGGGGGGGGGGGGGGGGGGGGGGGGGGGGAGGGCATGTGTGCAAAGAAAGCAGGCATGTGAATAACAGGGCATGTGTGTTGGGACATGGTGCACACGAGTTAGGGGCTTTCCGGTTGGGGGCTTTCCGGTTGGGTGGGGGAAGGAGCCGGGGAAACAGAGTGTGCCTTTGTGAGGGTGTGTGTGTGTGTGTGCCGCCAGTCTGTGTGCAGTGGGTGTGGGTGTTTGTCTCCCTGTATCCGCCTTCTCTCTCCTCCTGGACTTTTAGCCTTCCTGGGCTCTCCTTCCTCATGTCCTGCCTCCTCCCTCTGAAGGCTCAAAGTGGATGCCCTTGTGGACAAGGGGGGCACACTCCAGGACTTAGTCCAACCCCAGATGCTGCCTGAGGCTTCCCTCCTGCTCCCCCTCCCTTTCTTTCCTCCCTATCCTCCCTCCCTCTCTTTCCCTTCCTCCCTCCCCCCCAAGGCTGGCGTGCCAGGGGGTGGGACATGCCAATCACTGGCTGTGCCTCTCCCGCTGCCAGCACAGGGCGCAGCTCCCCCCGGGAGCCAGGTGTTTGGGTCCCAGGAGACGCTGCAGGCCCCCGGAGAAACAGTGAAGCTGAGGACCCCACAGACCCCTCTCCGGTCCCATGGTGAGTACATTTGGGAAGGTTTGGGAGGGGCTGTGTTGAGCTGGGTGCAGAAGCAGCAGAGTCCTCTGGGACAGGGCAGGGACAAGGATGAGATGGAAATGGGGGTGGACTCTGGAGAGGGGAGGTGGCCAGGGAGGGGTCTAGAGGCCAAGAGGGCTCTGTAGCAGTGGGCATTGGCTCCTCCAAACATCCTGCCTGCTGGTTTTCAGTGGAGTCATCTGATGTTTTTCTGGGCTTCAGTTGGCAGAAGAGATGGAGACCCTCTTTTGAAACTCAAACTAGAGTTCAGAAGAGATTAGATGGCCATGTAGTTAGCAGATCCGACAGCACCCTAGAGCAGATAGGGAAGGGCAGGAGGCAGCCCTTGTCACCAGCACCCCACTGAAGGACGACCCCATATACATACTTTTGGGGACACCTCCTTCTCTCCTCCTTCAGGGCACCCTGAATCCCACCTCCCCGATCTACCTTCAGCCCCCCAAGATGGATTGAATGAGGCTGCTGGCCAGATGGACAAGCTGAATGCCAAGGTGGGTGTTGGGCCAGAATCCAGCAGGAGACCAGGCAAAGAGCTCCATTGCTTTTTGGAGACAAATAAGCACATGGACAGCCACATCACCCAGAGAATGTGGCTCTGGCATGCAGGGGACCCTGAGGGCCCTCCCTGTGCTTTTAGTATCTTTGGCTTTTGGGAGGCAGGTCGCAGCCAATACAAGGGTCTCAGGCAATACAAGGGCACTAATGCACACATGTGTGCCCTCAGACTCCAGTAAGGATGAGTTGAAGCCAGGGGCTCTGTTTCGTGCGGTTGCCAGTTCTAATATGGGTGTCTGGAGAGGGGGCAGTTGGATCATGAAGACCTGTACACCTTAGGGGTTCTTAGTACCAGTGGAGAGGGGTTCCCTTCTCCCTACAGTGCACATCTCTCTGCAGCTCCAGCCCATTGGCCCAATGCCCCCATCTCACTGGCTGGAAGGACTCAGGCAGTCTCCAGCAGCCGGCCAGTCTCCTGTCCCAGGGTAACCAGTTGCTCCATGAGCTGTCTAAGGAGAGATCACTACCCCCAGATCTCAGCTAGTAGGCAAACACGATAACTGCTAAGATATGCCAGAGGAGGGGATGATGGAACAAGGCTACAGAGGGTGTCTACCATTCTTGGCTTCCCTGCTGGGCTGGTGGCTGTGGCTTTGGAGGATCGTGAAGAGCAATGGGAAGTCCTAAGTGTCTAGAAAGGTCTAGGCAGAGCTGTCCTAATGTACGGTCAGAGAGAATGGGGCTGAAAAGGAGACTGGAATGCTCATGGCCATAGAAGGGAGACCCAGCAGTCCCCTTCTATGTGGTACTTGAACCCCGTTCTTCTCACCCTCCGCACAACACTGTGCTACCACCTCTGTGAGCAAGAAGACAGGATAGAATGGGGAAGGAAAGGGCGTAGTGAGCTTTTGTGAGGCAGGCAAGAGCTTGGGCTCCCAAGCAGGCAAGCAGGGAAGAGGTGGGTGAATCTCGCTGAGTCTCTTGCTCTGCTGTGATGCCATGGTGATGCCTAGGAGACTGGGGGAGGGAAAGAGAGAGAAGAAAGGAAGAGGGGGGAGTGCGAGGAGTAAGGATCTGGGGACATGCAGGGAGGAGGGGGCCAGCATTGCTGATGCCGCACTTGCAGAGCAGGGTCTAGGGTGCAGCCTGCTAACCCAGGCTCTTCCCAGCCTGGTTGAAGATGGTCCAGTCATCAAGGTCCATCACCAGTGAGCAAATCTGGCCACGCTTCCAGGACGGATGCTCCTCTTTCAGATCAGCAGTGTGTTGACGGAGCACTGAAGTGGCGGCCACTGGTCCACTGGGTTAGCTGGCACTTCCAGTGGTGGCTTGAGCCTAAAAAAACAAAACAATGAGATTCATTCCACTTATTTACTTCCCAGTTTCCAAGGCCAGGGGATCAGGGGTGGAAGTTTTGTCAGCCTCTAACGAATCAAGAGCCACCTGAAGAGAAGAGTTAACCCAAGGGGAGCTACCCAGAAGGCTGGCTTCTGGGCTGTGGTCCCTGAAGAAGGGAGTATAGTCAAGAGCCTTGATCAGGACCGCCTCCTTACTCCATATGTGAGGTCCCAAGTTCCCCATCCCTCAGCCCTCTCTGCAGACCACCTTCTCCCCTATTATCTCTGCCCCAGCCAGGTTTTCTGACAGCTTCCAGCCCCAGGATAACAAGATGGCTCCACACTTCCTTCCTAACTCTCCCCCAGCCTGCTGCCAATCTCCACCTCCCTTTCCCACTCTTTGACCAGGCTAGGGAAAGTCTAGTGTTTAGGAATCCTTTTCCCCAGCCTCCTGTCCTCCCCCAGTGGCTTCTTCTAGTCGCCCTTCCTTTCACCAGCCAGATCCCCAGTCCCTTGGGATTTGGTCCAGGGCACTGGCGGTCATCAGTCTGGCCTGCCTTGTGTTAGCAACTCTGACCTCATCTCTTATTTCTTGGAGCCCACATTGACTTAAACACACACACACACCACCACCACCACCACCCACATTACCTTAAACATACACGTACACCACCACCACTACCACGCACATTAACTTACACACAGAAACACACCACCACCACCACCCCACATCTATTCCTGAACCTCACTTCGCCTCCCTTCGCCTCTCGATTGATAAGACAGGATTCTCTTGAACGTTGCACAGATGCAGAGGCGCTCTGTTATTTTTCTCCTACGCTCTCAGGCCAGGCAGCCCTTTACCCAGGAGAACTGTGGAGAAGAGGGTCATAGAAGCAGAAGGGCCCCTAAACAAACCTGCTCTGGAGCTGGCCTTGATCCCCACAGGCTCATCCTCAACCTCCAGAGCCTGAAGTCATTGACGAGGACCCCCCTCCATGTATACATTCATGTATTTCTTCCACAGATATTTGTTGAGCAGTTACTACGTAGCAAGCCCGAAGATACAGCAGTGAATGAAGCGAGCAGAGCCCCTACCTTGCCTCTCCATCAGAGTTACAGCTAGACCTTCCCCTCCCCCACACTGCCATTATTCATCACACAGATAAATGACACAGACACGGGCCAGAATCTAAAGCAAGGGCTGTCGGCTGATTCAAACTAGGGTTTGGCCAAGCTATGGAGATAGGTGGAGAAACTGCTGAGGTTCCTCGGCACATCCCGTCAAGAACAGTTGAGAGCAGGGGTTCTCAGAGCTGAGTCTCAGAGGCAGATGAGTGCATCACTGACAAGCTTTAAGGTCACCTCTTTTTGCAAATCGGAGATAATAGAATCTATTCTCAAGGAGTTATAACAAGTAAATTAAATTATGCATATAATGCGTAGAGCCATGTCTGGTATACTCAAGCAGCCAGTAAATATCAGTTGCTATGATAATAATAGTAATATTATTAAAGGCTCCCAATAGTCTTCATCAGGAGGCCACAGTCCTGGGCAGAAAAGCACTCTCCCCATTTCTTAACACCTTCTTGCACTCAAAACAGGAAAGGCTCGGAGACCCCGCCCATCCCCACAAAGCTATGAGCTCACCCCTACCGTCCCCTAGTCTTATTCAGCAATGCACTTACCCTCCTCACACACAGACACTCATACTAGAAACTCGGCCCCATCCCACAAAAGGGCTCTCAAGTCAGGATAGTGACTTGCCTAAGGTCAGTGGAACAAAAGCTTGAAGCTAAGGATTCTCTTAAGGGGGCTCTGCCTGACCCACCCTGCAATCCATGTCACAGCTCTTTCCATGAATGCTTGTTTCTGTTTTATTTAATATTTATTTATTTTTGCTGGGTGGTGGCGGCGAATGCCTTTAAATTTCAGCACTCAGGAAGCAAAGGCAGACAGATATCTGTGAGTTCAAGGGCAGCCTAGTCTACAGAGCTAGTTCCAGAATAGCCAGGGCTACACAGAGAAGCCCTGTCTCAGAAAAAGAAGAAAAAAAAAAGGTGTATTTATTTTATTTTCTATGTATGGGTGTTTTGCCTGTATGTATGTCTGTGCATCACATGCCTACCTGGTGCCCCTGGAAGTGAGAAGAGGGCATTGAATCTCCTAGAAACTGGCATTACAGACTGTCCGGCCACCATGTGGGTGCTGGGACTTGAACCCTAGTCCTCTGTAAGAACAGCCAGTGCTCTTAACCACTGAACCACCTCTCCAGCCTGTCCATGAGTGTTATGACAGGATGTGCTCTGTGAATATAGCATCAAGTTCCCCTTTCAACCAGAGAACTAACCCTGAGCCCCCAGTTCACAAAACTTCTGGAGCCACCACAGAACCCCAGCACCCTGCCCCTCAGCCCCAGGATGACTACAATCGTGGAAAACCAAGTTAACTCATGACTGTCCTCCTCCAGTAGCCATCAACACACGGCGAACTTCCCCCAGTCAAGAGTTACAGTGGCTCAGTGAGTAAACATGCTTGTCTTGCAAGGGTGAGGGCCTGAGTTCAACCCCCCCCCCCCGGACCTGCATAAGAGTAAGCATCTATAATCCTGTTGCTCTTACAAGGCACTGGGGGAGAGAGAGACAGGAGAATCCCTGGAAGTTTACAGGCCAGTTAGCCTGGCACAGGCAGTGAGAAAACATCGTGTACACACACACACACACACAAGTTAAGGCCAGGGGCTGGAGAGATGGCTCAGTGGTTAAGAGCACTGACTGTTCTTCCAGAGGACCCAGGTTCAATTCCCAGCAACCACATGGTGGCTCACAGGCTGTATGTAATGAGATCTGGTGCAGGCAGAACACTGTATACATAATAAATATTTTTTTTTAAAGTTAAGTGCAGGCATGATGGTGCACACCTATACTCCCAGCACTCAGAAGCCTGAAGCAGAAGAATTGCTGTGAGTTCAAGACCATCTTAGGCTAAATACTGAGACTTCAAACTGAATAACTGATAAGCACCTGCAGCAGGTGGCTCACAACCACCTGTAACTCCAGTTCCAGGGGATCAGACACCCTCTTCTGGCCTCTACAGCACTGGCTCATGGAGCTGTCACTCACACAGACACACTTACACATAAATTTAAACTTTTTAAAGAGTAAAATGAAAAACTAGCTAAAAATGTATTTCCATTGGTAGTCTGCTCACCTAGCAAGCAAGAGCCCCTGGGTTTAATCCCTAACACCCCATAAATTGGGTGTGGTGGCACATACCTGTAATCTCAGCACTTGGGAAGTAGAGACAGGAGAATCAAAACTTCAAAGTCAGGCTGGAAAGATGATGGCTCATCAGCCATGAGCATGGTCTGTACTTCCAGAGGACCCGGGTTCAATTCCCAGCACCCACATGGCAGCTTGCAACTGTCTGGAACTCCAGCTCCAGGGGACTCGACACCCTCACACAGACATGCATGCAGGCAAAACACCAATGCATATAAAATAAAAATAAATAAATCATTAGAAATTCAAAGTCATTTTCAGCACATAGGGAGCTCAAAGCTAGCCGGGATTGTATGAGACCCTGTCCTAAAGATAGATAGATAGATAGATAGATAGATAGATAGATAGATAGATAGATAGATAGATAGATAATAAATTAAGGATGTTTGCTAGAGATCTAGTACATGCAAGGCCCTGGGTTCAATGCCAGGACAGAAAAGAGAAGTAGAAAATGAGGAGGAGGAAGAAGAAAAAGAAACAAAACAAATTGATCAAGGATAATAACATAGATGTATCATCTCAACACCTGAGAGGCTAAGGTGACAAAGACTGCCAAGATTGCATGGCAAGGACTACAGTAGGTCATGGTGAAACTCTGATGTCAACCATCATGCCTGGTTAAAGCAAATACTTTGAGTACAGGACTCACTGTAATGGGAAAGCGGGGTCATGATCACCTGGAGCTGCATCCCCGGGGAGAATGGAAGGTCCAGAGGGTGGTGAGACTCGGACTCTCGTTCCCTAGAACCTCTACCCTTTCTCCTAGGACATTCCCGGTGGGAAGCAAACGTTAGAGGGGCACAGGGCAAGTAGCCAAGTGGAACAAACATAGGCCTTGAAGCCGAAAAGTTAGTGTCACAATCCCAATGCCACTGCCTCCTGTGGGAGCATCAGAAAGCCACTTAGTCCTCTGAGCCTCCGCTCCTTCACCTGTACTTCAGAGATAAGTGTGTTCTGCAAACGAAGGGGAATAGCGTATATCAAGTGCCTGGCGTATCCTAAGTATGGTGGCTACCAGTGTGATCATTAAAAAAGATTTGGCAAGGATTTCTAGCCATCCAAGCAAGACTGCCAGCCTCCTTACCTCCAAGGATATTTGGATCATTTTTCACGGGAGTCCTGTACTAAAAGTATTTGCTTTAACCAAGCATGATGGTTCACATCTATAATCCCAGCACCCAGAGGTAGAGAGGCAGGTGGATTTCTATGAGTTTGAGACTAGCCTAGTTTACAAAGTAAGTTCCAGGCTAGTCAGGGCTGTAGAGTGAGACCCTGTCTCAAAAGAAAAATTAAGTTAAATTAAAACACTTGCATTATTCATAGCCTACACTACTAGCCTCTAAGAGAAACTTGTGATGGGCAGCAGGTCACCATGTTCCCACCCAGAGTTGATGTCCCTGCAGCTCCCAAGAAATGGACCTGAGTGAGCCTTCAGCTTCACCTCGGGGTTTTCTCTATGCAGCATCTGGAGATGGACCCTGAACATCTCACAAAGATGGTAGAATGGTCCAAATCCTCCTTTGTACAAAAGAGCAGATTAAAAACCAGGGAAGAGCTGGGGATGGGTGCTGGAGAGACAGGACACTGTGACAAGTGGATCAGGACAGGGAGTCTGGAAGGAGAGGTCCTTCACTGTGTGTCTGCTTGGTTCCCCCACACATCAGCTGTGGAGTGAAGGGCAAGAAGAGAATGAAAGGCCAGTAACACATGGAGGAAGGGATGGCACTGAGCTTCATTCCAGAGCCAAGGGTCCCAAGACCAACCTTGGAGCAAAAGTTGAGGGGCCAGTGGGGTACAGGATGTGACTCAATAGTGAAACACATGCTTAGTATGCACAAGGTCCTGGGTGGTGCTCCAGTACTATTTGGGGAATGGGGGGGGAGGACTTCATAACACAGAAAGATAAAATTGCAACTTTGTTGTTGATTTGTTTGTTTGTTTGTTTGTTTGTTTTGTCTGTTCCCTACATCCAACCCCAGACAGGGTTTCTCTCTGTAGCCCTGGCTGTCCTGGAACTCTGTAGACCAGGCTGGCTTTGAACTCAGAGATCCATCTGTCTCTGCCTCCCAAGTGATGGGATTAAAGGGGTGTGCCACCACCATCCAGCTTTGTTTTTGGTTCTTAAGAGTCTCAAGTAGCTCAGGCTAGCATCAAATTTGCTGTGTAAACAAGGTTGTCCTTGAACTCCACATCCTCCTGCCTCTACCTCTAGAGTGCCAGGATTACAGGAGTGCGCCACCACACCCAGTCTGGAACTTTTGAAAAAGCCAAATAACAAACCAGACTTGCATGTAATCCCGGCATTTGGACAGCTAAGGTAAAATAATTCTGAGTTTGAGGCCAGTCTGAGCTGCATTGGGCTGCATACTGAGACTTTGTATTAATCAATTAGTCAATCAATCAATGCTACAACAGGCTAGCTCTTTTTGTAAATAAAGTTCCATGGGAACTAGGGTCAGGTTTGGAGTAAAGCTAATGAGACAGGATTGCACAAGTGTAGGGCTGGATCCTGCCTTTAACATTTTAATCATCCTAGATTGTATTTGCATTGATTTTTTTCATATTACATAAAAGATTAGTTTATTTACTACCAGGTTTGTGGGCTCCTTTAAATTTTGTGGCCAAGATACACATCACCCTCCCTCTAAGCCTGAGGAGGCCTCTGCAGCTGGGAGGGTGCAGCCTCTCGGCCAGCCAGGAATTCTAGTCTAGTTCCTTTACAGGTCTCTGCTGCTCCAAAGCACGTGGAAGTGGCACATAGGAGAACTATACTCAGTCTAAGAGCAAGGAGACCTTGGTAATGCCTTCTATCGCCTGTTGCCAGGCCTCAGTTATTCCCTTTGTGAAATGGGTGTTAAACGGCCCTGAGTTCAGAAAATCAAGGACAGTTGCTGTGCAGGGCAAATTCATAAGATAGTGGCCACCAGCAACCTCACCAGAGAAGGCCCCAGCCTGATTCCAGCCTCTAGCTCACTACCTGACTTTAGTACAGAAAGGGTATGACAAAACTCAGCAAAAAAGATAAACCATGTTTTGCAAGAAGTGGTGGTTCATGCTTCTAATCCCAGCATTCAGGAAGCTAACTAAGGAAAGAGGCTCAATCATGAGTTCAAGGCCAACCTGAATACACATAGCAAGACTCTGTCTCAGGGTCTGGGGCGGTAGCTCAGTGGCAGAGTGCTTGCCTAGCTGCACAAGGTCCTGTGTTCGAATCATGATGCTGGTGGGGGCGAAGGTGGGATGCAAATTGTGTTTTAGTGCAATGCTTTTAAAATTAAAATTGGTGAGTTATTCTTCAATGATGTTCAGTTCTTTTGTTGTTTTGTACATTTTTTGTTTGTTTGGTTTTTTTCTGTTTAGTCATAGGTTCTTGTAAATGAAGTTTCACTGGAAAAAAATGACCAGAGTCCAGTCTTGATGGTATATTTCCTGTGTGGTCTTCTACAGGTTCTCTTGCTGTTTCATTTGAGTCTCACATCTGTACAGGTGTGCCTAGGTTGCAGGTTCCTGCTGAGATTCAGTGTAGGGGTTGGAGACACAGCTCAATTTGTAGAGTGCTTACCCACACGGGGTTCCATCCTCCACACCATGTAAAACTGGTATGGCACCCTGTGCCTCTCATCCCAACATTCTGGAGGTGGAGGATCAAGAGTTTAAGCTCTTTGGCTACACAGTGAGCTCCAGCCTAGCCCAGACTACATGAGATGAGCCTCTGTCTTAAAGGGGAAAAAAAAAGGAGGTGTGGCAGAGAGATTAAATGTGGCTGCAGATCATTAGTAGAGCACTTGCTGAGCATGTATAAGGCCCCATGTTTGAGTCCTTACAACACACACACACACTCACACACACACTCACACACACTCACTCACACACTCACGCACATTCACACTCACACACACACTCACACACACTCACTCACACACACTCACTCACACATACACTCACACACACACAGATTAAATAAGATAATGCATGAATGTATAGAAATACACCACACACCCACACACACAAAGAGAAAGATTAAGTAAGATAATGCATGAATGTATAGAAATACACCACGCACACACACACAAAGAGATTAAATAAGATAATGCATGAATGTATAGAAATACTTGAGCAGTGACTCAGGGTGAGCTGTCCAATAGACACCATTAGTATCAATCACCACTGCTGCACTATCAGATTTTAGGGCCCTGTGCTAGGAATGAATGCCAGACAAGCTAGACAAGTGATTTACTGAAACCTGTATCAGAATCCTCTAGACTGTTTGTTTGTTTGTTTGTTTGTTTGTTTGTTTGTTTGTTTTGAGATAGGGTTTCTCACTGTAGCTCTGGCTACCCTGGAACTCACTCTGCAGACAAGGCCAATCTCAAATTCACAGAGATCTGCCTGCCTCTGCCTCCTGAGTGCCAGGATTAAAAGTGTGTGCCACCACATCCAACCTTCAGAGAAACTTTTTTTTTAATTAAAATACAATTACATCATTTTCCCCCTTCCCTCTCTTCCCTCCAATCCTTTCTGTATACCCCCAGAATATTCTCCCTCTCGAACTCATGGCCTCTTTTTCTTTCATTGTTATTGATATACATATACATATACATATACATATACATATACATATACATATACATATATATACCTAAATATATAAATACAACCTGTTCAGTCCAGTTAGTGTTACTCGTGTGTATATGACGCCAGGGCTGACCCCTTAATATTGATAACCAGTTAGGGACTCATCGCTGGGACAGACTATTACTCCGACTCCACGCCTAAGCAGAAGGGAGCCCTCATTCCTACATTGACTAAATTAAGGGGACCCAGTGCTCACTGTACATCAAGAGCCATTCTAAGCACTCAATGTTCAAAAACTCACTTAATCCTCTTAATTTCTTGAGGTATTAGCGTAAAGGTCTTAGCTAATCCCTACATCTCAGTTGAGAATTTATGGTTCTGGACATTACATCATTTAATAAATAATAACAAATTGATTAATAAACAATAAAATAAGATATAATGGTGCAAGGCTTTAATCCCATCACCTGGGAGGTAGAAGTAGGATCAAAGGTTCAAAGTCATCTCCC